AGTGTAGACCCACTAAAATCATAAGAATGTCAATAACATCCAAATTGACTCAATAAAGACAGAGTATTAAACCCTTTCAGGAATTTTATATAGAAGGTTTAAAAGGTTACAGCACAGCAGCAAGATAGCATTAAAATCATCCATTGATTGGCTTACAATCTAAATAAATCAACAACTACTATTTCTAAACATCAATCTAAAATGATCATACTGATTAACAACATTGTAGGCTAGTGGTTAAGGCACAGCGCTCTCCCCGCGGTGCCCCGGGTTTGAATCCAGGTTGCGTCAGGAATGGCATCTGCCGTAAAACACGTGCCAAATGTCAACATGAGAGTCGTCAGTGTGACGATTTGCTGTGGCGACCCCTAAATGGAAAAATGCGAAAGTGACCTTCTTTATCATTGGTTAATCTCTTGATCTGACTAAAAGTCAAAGGATTCCTCACTGAATCCTGTTTTCAGCTGGCTTGAGTTTGTTGGATTGTGGCTTTTCATTGAAAATCGTCATTTCAGGGTAAATCATCTTTTAGGCAGGATTTCAGAATTTCTCTTGCCGAATCATGAGGCACTGGCACAGATCAATCGTCCCACGGTGACTTCCCGCGCTCCATAGCAGCTCTATTGGTGGTTTCCCTCTCTTTCTTCGTAAATCTTCTTTTAAGCAGGAATTCAGAATTTTCTTTGCTGAACTGTTAAGCACCTGAACAGTTCAATTGTTCCACGGTGACTTCCCGCTCTCCGTAGTGGCTCTATTGGTGGTTTCCTCCATTGCTCCCCCCACAGGCCGAGTGCCTGCAGACTGCCTCTCTGCAGTCTCTCGGTCTTCTGGAAGTCAGACAGTCAATCGGACAGCGCCTCCAGCTGCAACTGTGAAGGAGTGCTCTTGTTCCTTCTTTTTCCAGGGTTTTTAAAGGATTCTCGTCTCATAAGCTCGGTCCTTCCATCCAACCAGATGCCACAGTTTGCAGTTAATACCTTATGTGGCGTGGAAATTCATGTTTTTCAGAACTATTGCATATCTTTTACTGTCAAAGCTCAAGTCCACTGCCCGTAACTGGCCTCCACCCCACTGTGATTCAGCTCCAGATTTTATTTCTCTTTTCTCAGAAAACAAAATCATTCTTATATCTAATAAAAATACAGGAAATTCACATCTGATTGAAATACAAAAAAATCCTATTATTGCCTTTAACTAAATCAGAATTACACACTGATTTTACACAAAACTATCAATGCCTTAAAATTAAAACCTGGATCTCTGTTATTTTGACTACAAAACTTGACTAAACATTGATTATCATTGATTAGACATTGATTAAACAGTAATTATCAATCAAATCTTTACTTTACTTTTTAGGCATAAAACCATCATTTTTATGAACTCTGTCTCTTTTTCTTTTATCTTCTCTCTCAGTCGCACACTCACACACACTCCTCACCCTTCCTCTTTTCAGGGATGTGTTGCTTCCCTTTTTCTCTGTGATTCAGCATTTCTCACTCCTTAGATTAGATGTAAAATCACTACTTACAATCATTTACACATTCGTTAATTATTATTTCAAGCAAAACACACACATAAGTAATCTTATGATTATCCTTACTTATTAAAAGCTTAACTTTCTGCTTTATACATTTTGCCAAACCCTTTTGTAATCCCCACCTAAATCCTGGTTGGATGGATACAGTTATAGATTCAAAGGAAACATCAAATTTGGACCAGTACCAGAAGAGACCAGATTTCCCAAGGAGCCAGGGAGGAATGTCAATAAAGAGCGACACAATAGTTAGATTTATGAAACTCGAAATGTATTAACACAATTTAACCAAATGCACAATAATACGACCATTAGAAATAAATGAGGTAAACTGCACACTAAATCATTGAACAGAATAAAACAACAAAAGGAAAAAAAAACCCGCGCTCCAAATAAATGTCAGAATGTCGGGGCCCTCTAAACTGGAGTTAGGGATCCTACAAGCTCCACAGTGAACTGGATTACAAAAGTCCTTCTCCCAATCAGTTCCTCTTGAGGCTTTCACCTGGCTCACCACCCAGCATCCACTAAGTATCTCTGATCCAACTTCTTCCAGGAAGAACTCCAGACAGATGAGATGGGTTTCTTTTGTTTCTTTTCTTCTACCCCCCCAAAAAACCTGCCGTACAACAGATCAGACCAATCAAAACGATTGAAATCAATTTCGTACTTTTTACCAGAATAAATCATGTCTAATTTCATACATTTCCCATACATTAATTAATATAACTGTAAAATGCAAATATAATCAACAACCAATGCATTCAAATAGCGACCAGAGCTATTTATTAAACATCTTGGTATTAGGAAATAAAATTACGTATTGCACCGTTAAATTGGCATAACTGACTCACAACATGATAACTTAAGGGCATTTAGGCTCACATGCTTATTCATCCCTCTCTGCACCGGTAACAGCAAGAGAATGCACAAAAAATTGATCCTCAAATTACCATAGCTTAGCAACACAACATACAATTCAACCCATCATTCTCCACCATCCACAGTTCACAACAACTAGGTCACCAAGATACAATAACTTCAGCTTAATACAGGTACCAACATCTCTAACATTTGACATAACTAAATAAACTCAGACAGTATAGCTTACCATTGAGTAATTATCACAATTTTTTTTCCTTCTACGTCAGCTGGTTGGCGGGTGCTTTGGTTATGCGTCCCGTTCTACAATGCTTAAACATAACAACATACGAGTCAATTACCCCTCGACAATAACAGAATAAGCTGACTGTATTTTAAAACATAATGTCTTACTCTTTCCACGCAAATGACACAAAAAGGGTCCTTGCCATTTCTCTGAGCAGCACACAGGCGGAGTACCCATGCAGAGGCAAAGAAAACCGGAAAACAACCAGCAGCGCCAAGATATTAACCCTTTCATAACATACAATGAACTGTAACCTTGTTTTAACATAAGCTAAAGTCTTTTCCCAGAAATAACACTGAATTTGTTCAAGAATTTCACACTTGGGCTACACTTTTAATAATTTTTCTCCCTCTTCCAGCTTCTCTTGCTGTCTGTCTTCTTCCTCCAGGCCCAATCCAGCCTCTCATCTGTTCCCCACCACCCATTTTGCACTCTTCTTTTCCTTCCTATTTTCCAACACCTTTTGCTGTTGCCTTCCTTTCCATCCACCACCAGATATTCAGCATCCTATTCCATTTCTTCCTGGCAGTAGTCTGCGGGTTCCATAGGGCCAGGTGTGACAGGAGAGTACAGGCCTCCCTTCAACTCCACCACCTCTTCTTCCTCTTCCTGCACTGAGACATTCTCTGTCACCGGTGCAGTTCCGTCTGGCTCACACAGCTAATTTTCAGCCTCCTCTGGCCTATCTGTCATCTCCTTACATTCTCCTTCATCATTTAGTGGCCATTCCCATAATTCTTGTAACAATTCTTGCTGTTCTTGTGGGTCTTCTAACTGCAAAGAAACAATTTGTTCAATAGCCTCCTGCAGCTCTTCTTTTAAGGTCATTTCTGATACTGGGTCATCAAAGGTCGGTGCTGCTTCAGTAGACTGCATTTCCTGTAAACATTCTTGCTGTTTTTGTGGGAATCCTGACTGGAAAGAGACAATTTGTTCAATAGTCTCCTACAGCTCTTCTTGTGAAGTCATTTCATCAAAGGTCAGCGCTGCCTCAGTGGCTTATGTTTCCTGGGCTTTTTCCTGGTTCTCTCTGGGACCCGTATTTACAGCTTGGCTGACACAGTGGTGAGCTAACAGTTAAACAGCTAGGCTTTGTCAGATGACTGATGTCCATCTACAACCTTTTTTTCAGTTTGACTTTGTGCATCTTAAATATAAGCTCAATTTAAGAAGAAATACATTCAACATAGCATTTTTAGCTGTAAGTCTGCAATCACTGGCTTTAGCAGTTGGTGATGCGCTACTACTGGTGCAATAGTTAGCACTGTCACCTCACAGCAAGAAGGTTCCGGAGTCAAATCTCAGTCTTTCTATGTGGAGTTTGCATGTTCTCCATGTGCCTGCATGGGTATTCTCCAGGTACTCCTCCCACAGTCCAAAGACATGCAGGTTAGGTTAACTGGTGGCTCTAAATTCCCCTAAATTAAGTATGAATGTGACTGATCGTCTGTGTGGACCTTGCCTCTTGGCTGTTGTCGACTGGGATTAATCCCCAATCCAATAAACTCTTGCATAAAGGAAAAACAACAAAACAAATCAAAACATAGTGCATAGCATTCAAAATTCTAGCTCTGGTGGTTTCTGTGGCTATTTATGTATTTTTCAGCTGCAAAACAAAAAAGACTGATCTGATACTGAGAGGAGAAATACTTATTGGATATCCCAGTAGAAGCTCGTCAGTCAGAATTAAGATGTTTGCATTTCTTTGAAGTCTCAGTCGATACCGCCAGTAAGGCTGACTTCTCTCATATCCTATGTACATCAGCGAGGGGCCTATAGAGTTGCAGAAGGATCGATAGTGCACACAGAATCAGTCGTCTGTGATGAATGTCAGGTAATGTGCAGTACTGATATGCATCTTTGTTTTGTTGTGTTTATAAGAGTAATATAGATGGATCAAGGTCTGCTGTTACTGAGATGAGGCTGAGAGACATTCAGATGCATTGTGGGTGATATCAGAAGAGCAAAAAAGGGAAAAATAACATCTTGTGTTTAGGATAATGAAAAGTGGGAGAGGGCTGGGGAGGGTACTGAAGAGAAATGGATTTCATTTGAAGTGAACTGACAACAAAAATATATCCCTGCAGCTTTCACATCTTCTCTCTAATTATAACTACGACTGTCAAATGCATTAGGAGCAGTTGTTACCTCAATTACTGTGAAAAGATATGTATGTGTGAAATTTCCTTTTTGGAGATGTGTTGCCCTCATGGGAGCAGGACCACACCAATTGCAGCTGGGCTAATTTTCAAATAGTAGTAGCTCTTGAAAATAATTTTTTCATTTGCCCTACAGGTCTGATTCGGCTGCAAGAGCTTATAAAGGCACCATCCCGGTACAACATCCGTTTAAAGATCCGGCAGCTGCCTGCAGAGACCAAGGATGCCAAGCCACTTCTAAAGGAGATGAAGAGGGGGAAGGAGTTCCACATCATCTTTGACTGTGGCCATGAAATGGCTGCTGGAATCCTGAAGCAGGTGTGTGTGTGTCTCTCTATGACTGTGTGGTCAAACTTGAGTTCAGCACCATCACTATGAGGACATTTTGGCATTGTGAGGATATTTTAGCCCATCCTCACAACTTCAGTGGGCTTTTTGAGGGTTCAAGTCAGAATCAGATTTAGTTTAGTTTAGGGTAAGCGTAGAGATTAGGCATTTAGTTGTAATGGCAACGATTAGGGTCCTTTTTTCTTTTTTTTTTGTAATGCAGTAAGGCAGAAGCCTGTATGTGATACACGGCCAAGCCCCCAGGCGAGGCCTGTTTTGCTGTTGCTGCCCTCACTGGACTCTCTCATAACCTTCTCAGCTGCTCTAAGGAAAAGTCCATGGGTCTTACATACCTTTATTAGTTTTCCTCATCTTCTCTGGGCGTAATGTGTGGGTACAACACAAATCAAAACAACTTAACATTCTGCAGCAGGCATTTTACTTTCGCCCCCAGGTGCTCTCCTGCAACTTAGACCTTGCTCTCACAAAATACAACCACGAATGGCAGGTATGCTTAGCATGGACATATAACCAATAAATGGGTCAACAAGGTGTTATATATTTCAGTTTGTAAATTTGCACTCAAGCATATAAAACCAGAAAAGAGTATCTATTTTTTTGTTTTATTTACTTTACTTAAATTCACAAAATAATAGATATCTCTGGACACATCCCACACCTCATGCTGATTTTTTCAGTGAGTGTTGATGTTAATGGAGTGATGATTTGATGGAAGTTTCATAACCCTAACCTCTGTGGTAACAGAGAAGTTCCTTTGCTACTGCACCAGGGATATATTGTATTGGCCCAATCCCATTTCTTATTTTTTACCCCTACTCCTTGTTTTTGAGTTAACCCTCAAAACAGAGTTACAAGGAGCACTGGCTGAAATCCTCCCCTATGAAATGGGACAACCCTCTATGTGTCATCTACGAGTTTAAAAACAACAGTTAAATAAACAGATGCAATGAGGTGTTGTTGGAAATGCTGAATGACAGTGGCATCTTCAGCTCTGATGATTTTGTTTGTGTGGTCTTTAACTATTGGTTTGCAATTTTCGACAGTAACTAATAAAAATGGAAGGATGGAAATATGTTTTTGACACAAGGGAATATTGGCGGATTTGTTTGAGGAGTGTAGCATGGACTGCAGGTATGTTTTGTTGTAGTTAGTCTGACAATACTCAGCTTTGAGTTTGCCTTTGAAAGCCTTCCATTTGAAGGGATATGTAGCTCTATCACTCCACCCCAACCCTCCATCCTAAGGAGAATTGGGACACCCCTACCACTACATGTGAATGTGCAAAACTGAGAGGTAGGGCTGAGTAGTAGGGGCGAGGGGTGAATTGGGGCCTTTGTAACTATTTTGTATTTTATGTTGGTTTGATCATGACGAAAGCAGATAAAATGGGTGATGCATGCATCTTTAAAAGCCAGCGTGCTCCTACAGACCGCAAACAGTGTCAGTGTTACCTGTTTTCTCTTCAGAAACTCCCCTAAATCATCTCATTTTCCTGTTTAGACTCAGCCCCTCATGACTTGTTCTATATCTCATGTGTATGGACTGTTTTCTCTGCATTTTAATTTACTCATGCTGTCCTTGGTTGCTTAGCTATTAATTTATGTGTTTATTAGTTCTGAGCGTGTTGGTTCATGTGTGTATTTGCTTGTTGTCCTTCATTCCAACTTTCACTTTGTTCAGTTGTTTATGTTTGCCGGTTAGTTCATTTTCATAGGTTTTCCTGTAGCCCTGCCTGTCAGGATCGGCACGTGACGCTGCTGATAATAGTCATGGGTGAAGTTTATTAAATTGCCAGACAAGGATATGTGAATAACCGTCTCTTTATCAAGAGCACTAACACATAACAAAAATGAGACAAGACACGGTGAACACACAAAACACACTTACAGAGTGATGATACAGTCCATGGTCAGAGCCAGCAAACACATACAGCAAAGGGAATCCAAAGTTTGTAGTCCAAAGGGGTAGTCCGATAATTCATACACAAGGCAGCAGTCCGAAACATGAGGGCAAGGCAGAACAGAATTATCAAAGTATACAATCCGGGTCAAAACACAAAATACCATGGTGGGGGAAGGCTGCTTATAATGCGGTGAAAACAGGTGTAAACAATCGGGAGCAGGTGAAACTAATGTGAGTGATTATTAAAGTAAAAAAGACCAAAACTGAGGTGAAACAAAAACAGGAAGTAATGTCAAAATAAAAGCACAACAGGAAGCAATGGAACCGAATCATGACAGAACCCCCCACAAGGATGGCTCCCAGACATCCAAACACAAACCAAAACAGGACCGAGCAGGGAGGGAGGAGGGGGCCAAGAAGGAGGGCACAAAGAAGAGAAAAAAAAATAACCCCAAAAAACAAGACAACCACAGGGACCACAACAAGGACATAGCCCGACCCGCTCAGGGGCAGGAACAGGCTCGAAGGTGGCGTCAGCACGCCGGCCAACCCACTCAAGGGCAGGAACAGGAACAGGCTCCAAGGCGGTGTCGGCGCGCCGGCCAACCCGCTCAGGGGCAGGAAGAAGGAGGGTGCCGTTACCATTTGCGCACCCCTCAGGAGCTGGGAGCAGAGGAACAGAGAGGGCTTTGGCAGTCCAGCCAAGCCCTATGGGACCAGAAACAACAACCTCCATTGGCATGTCCTTGTCGGCACACTGCAGACCTGGCACCCTGGTGGGGACACTGTTGTCAGCGCACCTGGGTTTCTCGGTCTCAGTGGGGACGTTTGGGTAACCATGCCAAGGGGCAGACTCCAGGGTGGCGTCGGCACATGGTAACCTTGGCGGGGACGTTTCTGTCGACACACTGAAGGTAAAGGGCTTCAGCGAGGACACTTTCATCGGCACACCAGGAAGCCCCCCATGCTGAAGGGACATTGACCTCAGGAGTTATTGCTGCAGGAACAGGCTGCTGCTGCCGGGGGGCGGGCTGGGGGGA